ACCCTTGGACTTAGAATTAGGACTATTTTCCTATATTTGGAGTATTATGGATCTTCGCCTTTATTTGACTTGCTCATTTGTTTATGCTTCAAGACTGATGGAGTTTTTATTTCGCTTCCTATGAAGTATGCTACAATTCAGTTAGATCCTTTTTATCCCTAACTTTTTACTTTATGCTTTAGGATATTCACTTCATCTCCTCCCTTTCTTAAATTTTCAAATCTTCTCCCTTTTTCAAAACCTTCTTGTTTTCATAATCAAACCGCTTTCATAATAAAACCTTGACTTTGGTCAAGTGATTTTCAAACCTTGTTTTTTTAATAAATGTCAATCAATGATAATCATATTTTGACCAATTTCAAAAAAAGACATAAAAAATATATAACTCACCAACTCTTTTTGTGCCTTTGTGCACTTTTTCTTTTAATATTTTTTCATAAGTTTAGACATGAGTCATCTCTTTAAGCTAAATTATTCGCTAAGAATTGACGAGTTGTCTTTAAATTTAAAATAAATGATAAAAATCCTTTTTTTTTAATCATTTGTACCACAAACTATGGGGTTTTGATCTTATATTGTACTTTGTGGGTACGTAGGCATGAAGCGATAAGTCTCTTCAAACACAAAAATCTTAAAAATAATTCTTTTCTCATCTCCATAATCTCCTTTCAAACCAAAAGTGTAGATATTTCAAAGATGTTCTTATAGAGTACTATAGACGTTTTGGGTGCTAACACATTCTCTTTGTATAACCAACCCCCTTACCCATTCTCTGTTTGTTCTTGTTTTAGAACTTGTTTAGGTTTTGTTCGCTCTTTTTCCTTTCCTTTTGGATAAAATAAAAGTGCGATGGCGACTCTTGCATTTTTTAGTTAAGTTAATCAATAGCTTACACTCACAAATTTCCCTACTACAAGTAGTTATTTTTATTTGTAAGAAAATGGTTGTTTTTCTACTGGTATTTACAAATAGGAAGGGTTGTCTTTCTATTTGTTGGAAAAAGTCATTTGAATTGAGGTGGTTCAAAGTCCACCATAGTTGTTAGTGTTTTTGTGAAATCAAGGAAGCTGTGTGCCTTTTTATTAATGTTAGAAGATTTTAGGAGAAGTATTGGGTTGAGGTTTGTACAAAGATCTAACAATAGTGAAATCTCTCACAAGGTGTGAGGGGACTAGATCTACCCTTGATTTGAAATGGGACTAGTATACATCATTGTGTTGTTTACTTTGCTGCATTTTAATTCTTAACTTTACTTCATAAGTTCATCAACATTTTTGCAAAAATAAAATAACATAAGAACATCTCTAAATTCTAATTCACCACCCATCTTCATAGATTGCACTTAAACTTACACCTATGTCCATTAACAAGTGAGTTTCAGTGAGTCGCTTTAAGAGTTTCTTTGAGGTTTCATCTTGGGGAACAACTCCCCAACGTAACCTAACTCTTTGAAGAATGTGATTAACCATTTCTTAAGGTAAAACTCCTCTTGGGATAAGTCACTTTCCTTGTAAGCGTATGATCCATTCCCCATAAAAAGTGGCTTTGGTTTCAAAACTTATGAAACAAACATGTGCAATTATTCTCTATTCTGGTTCTTATGGCATATATTGTCACATGTTCCTCTTCGTTGATAAGGTTAACCAAAAATAACTAATCTTGAAAATGCTTGACACCATCGAAAAATGCTTCAAAATAATGAGTAACATACGCCAATGTAATTAAGCCCTGACATTGCATGTGGTTTGCTAAGCTACGTTCTACCATGAAAAGGTGGAAGAAAAGGGATAAATGTGCCTTTCCTATCCATTAGTCACACCACTAGTGGAAGAATTTGATGTAGGCCTAACTCACAGGGTTTAGTCGTAATGGGGAAATCCTCAGATGGTTTAAACCCTCTATTTCAAAATTGTTAAAGGGCAGGCAGGGGACCCATGATCAAGAAAGTTCGCTCATATAAGAATAGCACATTCGCCATATTCACTACAAATTCTTTTATCTTCCTTAAGGATCAATATGCCCTAATTAGAAGAATGATCCTCATCAAGGAAATCCTCTTCGAGGCTACCTAAAAGATATAAGTACCCTTTTTTATTTTTACTCATGGTGTACACCACTTCCATGGACTGAGAAAATAATATGTTGTATAAATGAAGAAAAGAACAAAGGTGATACCCCCAAGAAATTATGAAATTGTCTCCACAAAGATCACACAATGCCTTACAAAATGAATGTAATAAGCATTATCAGTGGTTCATATCACCTCAGAAAAAAATTCAAGTACTTTATTTTCCAAAGGTCATTATGATAGAACATACGAAAACACATATAAAACACGATGCACATTTAAGGTGCAATTTCCAATAAAAATAAATTCACATCTTGACTTTCCACTAAAGTTAGGCTATGACAAACGAAAAAATACAAACGTAGCAAAGTCATCACCCTACAAAGCCAAGGGCAGGGACTTGGGGGGGACTATTATAGGATGTTCAAAAGATCAATAATCGTGACACAAAGAAATGTGCTAATTCAATAATTTCACTTGCGGAGCGGAAGAGTTATATTGGGATATAACGCATGTGATCCGGATCTAGGATCCATCCAATGAATATATGCATCCCATGCCTAAAGATTAACAAGCTATTATAACCATTCTACTCATGGTGTTCAAGCTTTATTTACTCATCTTACTCTCATAAAAAGGTTAGATTCTTTCTCACCGTATCAGAAACTCAGGTCAACGATTATAATTTGTAACCTTCGATCTCCAACTAGTTCCAGTTCCCTAGAAATTTTTTTTCAAACATATGTGAATTGATTATGAGTGCGTACAATACTACATATAATGGTTGATAAAATCCTCTATCTACACGTGACTACCACATAAGACACATTGCTCAGAACTTGATGCTAGAGATCAAAGATAAAGTCAACGTACAAAAAGTTGTTAACATGGTTAAGGTTCCCTATTTATCAATTCACTCATAACCTACAATTAAATTTATAAATTTACATTACCACAAATAAATAAGATTGACAAATGCACAATCTTTAAGGTGAGTCACAATATTCCAATAGACAAGTGAGCAAGAGAATTTGACAAGGGTCGATGATGGGATCACATGACAACAAACTTTGTCAAATCAATAAAATTAGTATTTAAGGACACTCGCAACCTACCCCTTACAACATTGATGATGGTGACCTACTATAGATTGAAAGTATTATTTGTTGATGGTTCAAACTGGAGTAGGGTATAATCTGGGCAATTATTCACGGAAAATTGCATGAACGTGACAAAAAGAATACTGACAAATCCAACACACATTAGATAACCATATTTGACAGAAAAACTATTGTTTTAATGTCTATGAGACGCTGGGCAACAATGAAGGAAGACAAATGAGACATTACATGACCGAGCAACAAAATTGTTGGTGCAACGGCAAAAAGATTCAAGTTTTTTTGCGTGTCTTGATCACATGTCATTGTAGCATCTTTCATGTTTGCCAAAGCATTTTTTGTGCACTTGTCAAACATTTACAATGTAAACATATTCAATGCTTACAACGAAAGTTTAACACAGTGACATCTAATGAAAAATATTGACCTATTTATTAAGGAGGTATAATTTTCCATATTAAAAAAATGTGTAAGAATAAGAAAAGTCGCTGAAACAACACAATAAAAACAAAATTAAACGCAACTAATAAACTATAAAGAAAACACGGATTGTCATCTGATCATACAAGAAAATCTTATTCCAATGTTAAAACTAGTTTTCATTAAATATCTATTATTTAAAAAAAATTCATTTTGTTGATACATTATTTGTAAATATATATTAGTTAAAACTTCCAATTACACAATACAACAAATCATCAATACTAACAACAACAACAAAATCAATAACACCACAAATTAATAATAACACAAATTAATAATAACACGGTTTAATCACCTAATACACCGTGACAATCAATACATATTTTTCTATATCATTAGAGCATTCTATAACATAACAAAACATCTATGTTATTTTTAACACGCTCATAGTTTATTGCATTCGTTTTGATTAAATCACCCTCTCAATTAGCACAACGACAACAACAATAAATAATACCATAAAATTTTACTTATATGAAGCATTATCGATGTTGTTAGAGTTTCAAACAAACATATGTGACACCATGATATGCCTACAAACACTATAAAAAATATTAAAAATAAAAATAAAAAGCCATGGACACAACTCATACACCTCCATTAGTTTGATGTGATTTTATAATTGAGAGGTTGGTTTTTCCAAGAACTTGGATTTGGGTCCTAGATTCCTAATCATTCATCACCACAACCCAACCAAATGTGTTGAAGAAATCGAACATGTCATCACTCTTGGAACTGTTGTGTTAAGTCTCTCTCTCTTCTTACGCGGTTTCTTTTGGGCCTAGAATGCCCATGGTTTTTATATTCCACTCAAAGATCAAAGAATGGTCCCTAAAGGATATGAGCCCACAAAATGTTCTGATCAATACCATGTGCTTACTACTCTCTCCACTCTGTATTTTTTTAGTACTTGTTCAAGTTTTGGTAGAATATCTTTCAAAATTTTCTTTCCTTTTCTTTTTTATCATATGTGGATAAGTGAGCAATTTCGGTTTCGGAGAAAAAAACCCAAATCAAACACATGGCACATATTTAACACAAACATATGAAATATTTCATATACTTAGAAAAGTACTTACATGAGTGTTGATGCAAAAGGGGAATAAATACTATCATATCTATATGACACCTCATAATTTATAAATGTAACCTTAAAGTACCATAAAGAAAAAGACATTAAAAAAAAACCTTATCATAATTATACTACATAGTACTAGTCTCTAGTAACTATCTTAACAAATATTCTATTTTGAAGTTGATTTTGATGAATAATAGATATATTGTATCCCCCGTTTCTATTGACAATTGAACAACACTTTGATCCTCTAATATTAAGAGGCAGCAATCCTTTCATAATTTCCAAGCCTATTATCAGCCAACCTTGAACCATAAGTTGAATTCTTGTACTCAAACCATGTAAATTCTTTATACAAACTTTCTTTTCCTTTCATGAGTGAAGGTAATGGTGCTATTTTCTCACTCAAAGGTGGTCCACAGAAGTAAATCATAGACAGCCTTGGGTCTATCCCATTTGCCAAAACTCTATGTCTCACACTTTTGAACCTCCCATTAGTCATAACCTTTGTTCATGCACCGACCAAACCAAATAATAATAAAAAAACAAGTTAGAGTACTAGTCTAGAAACAAAAATAATGACATTAAAATCAAAAGAAAAATCATTTTTTTTTATCTATATAATCAATAAAACTCAATAAATAGTGTATAAATTTTTTTTATTGGACATATGTATGAAAAGTAGCATGATTAATTTGTCTAGTACCTGAAGAGAATCACCAACATTGATAAAGAAGGAGCTATGATCAGGAGGAACTGAAATCCAGCTACCATCTCTAAGAGAAATTTGAAAACCTGAAGTATTGTTTGACCTCAAAATTGAAATAATTTGAGGATCAGTGTGTTCTCCAAAGCCAATCAAATTCTCACCATCTATAACTAATTCAGGGCAGGCAGGGTAATGATTAACCCTAAAAAGAGAGTCACTCTGTTTATCCATCACAAGCTTGCTAAACACATTCTTTGGTTGTATCTTCAACCCTTCTGCCATCAAATCAAGTATCTCACATGCCATATTCCTCATTGCACACTTATAGTCGTTCAACAAACACCTACAAAAAGAATATTAATAAATAAATTTATTCTCATCAAATTTAGCGTTTAGGATTTAGGGTTTTATTTCTCAACTTCAATTATTTATTTTTTACCTAAATTTGTCTATGTCTTTGCCATAAAGAGAGAAATTGTGTTCTTGATTGGGAGTGAGGAGAAGATATTCAATCCAACCAACATCACCATTGAGACCAATACGTTTGCTGCCATAGCCAAAAGGCTTTGCAGGCCCTGCTTTTTCTTTCTCTGTTTGAGGGAGAGAGAAGAATTTGAAGGCCTCGGATTCCAATTGGGACATAGGTTCCAAAGGGATGCCATGGTTAATGACTTTGAAGAATCCGAAATCCTCACAAGCTTTTACTATGAGGCTTTTTGCATCTGGTTTTGATAGGTCTACGAGAGGGATTGGTGAAGAAAATGTGATTGGCATGTTGTTCCTAACGTAGGTGTATTGTTCTGAAGTTGGTTTGGATAGTAACACCATTTGAGGTTGTGTTTGGAAGAAAGTGAAAGAGGAGAACAAGGTTTTGGTGAGTGAATGAATGAAATTGAAAGAGAAGAGTTTGAGGAAAACGGTTGAGTTTGTTGGGTATTTATACACAAAATTGGTGGGGTAGATTGAGAAAGGTACAGAGAAAAAGAAAAATTAATCATGATTTTGGGGAAAACTCAAATCTTAAGTTGAAAAAATAGGACATTAAAATAGTTTTTAGAGGTTGACATTTTTTACAGTAGTAAATGTGTTATGCAGATATATGAAAACCTCAAGTATTAACAACATAAAAGTAATACTATAACTTTAGAATATACTACTCATTTCTAGCATCTATTATTTTAAACGCACATCAATTTCAATAAACTATAACTTTAGTATATATTATTTTAAAGAAAACATGAAACAGAAATAAAAATCTATATGTAATACTTTGATATTGTAATTTCAAACTTCAAATTTGAAATTCTATATGCAAACATATAAAATAAACATTAGTATTAGAGAAAAGGGAGGGTTTGTAAATTATTTTTATACGGCCACCTAATGAGTCTCGTTAAATTAGTTTGTAATTTTTAAATTATTTATATAATTTAATATTTTAAAATATTATAATTTAATATATATATATATATATATATATATATATATATATATATATATATATATATATATATATATATATATATATATATATATATATATATATATATATATATATATATATATATATATATATATATATATATATATATATATATATATATATATATATATATATATATATATATATATTTATATAATTTTTTGCAAAAGTGTACTACATTAAACTCTTAGTATTACCGTTAATAATAATAATAACTTTTTTCATAATATATAATTTTTTTTCCAAAAATAAGTTAAATTTAATTTGTTTAATATGTAGAAATTAAATTTCATTCCTATTAAATTATCTCTGGTTGTTGAAATCTTTAAATACTCTTTTTTTTTTATAAATTATAAGACGTTTTGCATATTTCACATGAATTAAAAAATTTAATTTTTATTTTATAAAAAAGATAAATTATATATGGCTTTATAGTAATGTCTCTCATAATTATACATGAGAAAAAAATTAAAAGAATTGAAAAAATAAATAATAATAATAATAATAAATATTTAAGAATATATTGTGAAAACTGTCATTAATATAAAATAACTTATAATTTAATACAATTTTTTTTTTAAAAAAGACTTATCATTCGGGAGAGAGAGTACAAGATAATAGACTATAAAACTAATACTGATAATGAATGGTTGAGGTTTATTTGTGTCTTTCTTGTTTTTACTTTTTTTTTACTAATAAACATTTTTTAAACATTATTATGGTTCATTAACATATATATATATATATATATATATATATATATATATATATATATATATATATATATATATATATATATATATATATATATATATATATATATATATATATATATATATATATATATATATATAATTATTTTATATAAAATCTTAAAAGATATATAAATTATAAGCAATAATTTTTTATGATTTAAAAACAATAGTATTCAAAAGAAGGATGTATAGACTCTAAAAAATGTATTAGTTTAAATTTTTTTATATATACTTACTATACAGGATAGATTTTATACAAGCTAATATATTAAATAGACTTTTAAAAATATTAGGTCAGGTTTAAAATAATAACTGGTTAAACTTAGAGCATCTTTAATGGGAGTAAACTAAATGGGTAAACTAAGATACTTTTTGTGGGCCCAAAGTGATTTGTAGGATTTAAAAAATTTATAGTTGATTTGAGTAGTTTTTACTTTAATGGTGGTTGTCTATAAGAAACCAAAACTTGACCCCACATTTTATATTTTTTATTCAAGTTACCATTAATTTAATTATTTTAATTAAAATACATATAATTTTTTAAATAAAATTTACCTTAAAAACTTAAAAATAATATTAAATATATTTTATTATAAAATTAAAAATGATACAAAATTCACAATAATAATACATAAAAAGAATTACATTTTCATAGGAATATAATTATAATAAGGATTCGACTGGTTGAGATCCATTTGATAAATAAATAAGATTGGAAATCGAAAGAAAAAAATTTAGAAGTAAAACTGTGTGTAAAAAAAATTAAAATTTTTATAGAATTTATAGAAGGTAAAAAATGATAATATGACCGTTATTATTTTCAAATATCATATCCTTACTTTAATGTTGTTGGAATATTTGAAATATTTTATTAATATTAAATAATATTATAATAGGTTTCACATAGTTAACGTTAACTATATAGATGATGGGAACTAAATTTTAGTTCATTTGGATGCCATGTCAGCTCTCCTATAATGCAAATTCGTTATTACTAACATAAGTTATAAAGAATTTTGGTTTAACAACCCTGCGTTAAAGTTGCTCTTATCCTATTTAAGTAAAACTAACTCAGTCTGACCTACTCCATTCCTATTGTCAACCACATCATTTGAATTAACAGTTTTTAGATTGAATAAATTATTGTTTCCCTCCTGCCAAATACACTAAACATGTTGATTACAATAATAGATGTGATTTCACACTAGATTTGAATACAAGAAGTTTTTTTAACTCCTAATCTTTAAAACAACTGATTTCAACCAAGTCAATTAAAGATAAAGCTCAAAATATCTTTCACAATGCAACAAGAAAAAATTATTATTAGTTTCAAAATCATTAAAACAAAACACGCAACATTGTTGGTGAACATTTCTTAGACTATGTTTGGATATAATGAAATGAGCGAAGTTGAATGGAAATAAATGGGGAAGAATGGAGTTGAACGGAATGGAGTGGAGCGAAATTAAGTGGAATGAAGTAGAGAAATTGAGAAAAATGGAGTATAGTGAAATAGAATGGAGCGAAATGGAGTGGAGCAGAATGAAGATTTCATTCCATCGTTAGGATATTTTAGAAAGGAGCACGACAAATTCTCCATTTTTCCCAAATTGGAGGGGAAGAAATATGATGGTAAATGATATAATATAATGGAATATGCTCTAGGCAGGCGAAAAACCCAATAAGATAAGGCCCATTCATCTCGCCCACTTCATTGAGCCCAAGGTATAAATAAAGTTACAAGAGGGTTTCAGGTACACAATCTATAATCTCTACTCTCACTATGATTATCTTGAATCCTAAACTGACTTAAACATTGAAGTGTTAACTATATAAGAACCCCTTGTGGGTCAAGTATACTAGAGATCAACAACATCAGCTTAAGATCCATGTCTTCGATTCAAGATGCATCACGATAGTGACATTCAATCCAAGAAGTTGTATCATCGAATTACTTACAAAGCTCCGTTCCATCGTAGCTTTGGCAATCTTATCCACTCTGGTTCCACAACTGATTAGTGGTGTTGCTTGTAGGAATTGACTTTCAATTCCAACGATTTCCACGAGGTCAAGTCCAATTCTCAGATCTAGAATCTGAAAGCTTCTGTAGTGAAGAAATTAAGGTTTCACAAAGGCAAGATCTCAAATTTGTGGCATTTGGATCCATCGAACTCTAATCTAACCCCGATTAATAAATCATCTCGATCTTGAACCACCGTTGGAAGATACCAACATATATCCTCAGATCTGGGTTCAACTTTATGGTGTTCTAATCGGTCGAGCTCATTTTGAGCTTAGGCCGACCATGAATCCTCTCGAGGCTTGTCAATATATCCCATAATATCCAGAGTTAGATTTGTGAAGTCCTCGAACAGATCTCCACAAATTTGAGCTATAATTCATCACGAATCTGGGCAAAGATAAAATAAACTTCTTCCGAGAGATTTCTAAGAACAGATGCTACTACGACCAAAATGTCGAGACAAATTCCTCGTGCCTGCTTCAACATTTGATCCCAAACCCAGTACACAGATTCCATAGCCCACTGAAGGGATTTTTGAGATTTACTTTGTGTAGCAGCCAAGTCCTCGTCTACGTCTTTCAGAACTTTGACCTGACCATCTTTCTTCTAGTAAAGGACTTTCTAATCTGCTTCAAACTCACAAAACGCCTTTCCCGCATCTTTAGAAGCCTTCTCCCAATGTTTCTCTCCCTCGACAAGAAAAGCCTTCAACTCTGCTATATGAGCATCCATAGTCGATGAAGAACCGTCTCACTTCATATTCTCCTACAAAGGGTCAGCAAGCTCGACATTTTGCCATAGCTCAATAAATTCCTACCCAGTCCTGGAATTCTTCCACTAAAGGGTCTCTCACTCCTCCTTCAGTTCATTTTGCACCCTTGCAAGATCACAAGAACCTAATATATCCTCCTGGATGGAAACTACCACTGAAACTAGATGTCCAGCCTTTAATAGGTTGGAGAAGCATCCACATAAAAAAACCCTGCATGTCAGCTGCAGACAGGTTTTGGGTGAAAGCTAAGTCCTCATTGGCCACAACAATAATAATGTCCTTCAGGGTGTTGGGTATTCTAGATGGGAGAATGAAAGGAAGCCATAATAAAAGATTAAGATCCTTTAACTCAGCATCTATGACAAACAAGACCGTTTGGAAGAAGCCCCTTCAACAAGAGTGAACAGACAACCACCTTGATTTCTTTTGATAGGAAAGGGGATGGTGAAGGCTCACAAATAAAGAGATCAACCGCCGCAGTAGTTTGTTCTCCACCTCAGGAGTTGTGCTCAGGATAGCAGCGACTGGTGTTTTCGGGGCAGTGGTTGAAATCGGCATCTGAACCACCAAACAAGAGCAACCGCTGTAGCAGAAGTCTCCACCACTTGACTCGATGAGTTGGTCGTAAGACCCTGGTCCTTAGCAAGCACGAGAAGCTTTTGCAACCAATTCATGTTATCTTCATGATACAAGCCACCCTTGTTAAAAAATGCATGAGATGCTTCAGATTCCCATCCTCACCAAATAGTTATTTCCTTTCTACATAGTCGGGCGCACTGATAAGTGCGTAAGTAT